GAGTTGTAGTTCACCTACATCCAAAGAGCACTCTGGACTCAAACAACGATGGATCTGGACCAAACTTGGCATGAATACCCAATATGCCCAAATGTGAACAGTGGTGGAGTTTGGGGAAAACAGAGCTTGACATTCGGGAATTATAGTTGCTGGGATTTATAGTTCACCTACGATCAAAGAGCATATTGAACTCCGCCAACAATGGAATGGACCCAATCTTGGCACACAGAACTCCCATGAACAACAGAAAATACTGGAAGGGTTTGGTAAGCACTGACGTTGAGTTTTAGAGTTGTAGTTCACCTACATCCAAAGAGCACTCTGGACTCAAACAACGATGGATCTGGACCAAACTTGGCATCAATACCCAATATGCCCAAATGTGAACACTGGTGGAGTTTGGGGAAAACAGAACTTGACATTCGGGAGTTGTAGTTTTTGAGTGAAGGACATACATTGGGTTGTTAGGTGTATTCTGTCGAAATTTGGTGTCAATTGGCCCACTGGTTTTTGAGTTCTGTTAATCCCACAAACGAACATTACATTTTTATTTATATAGATGTTTTGTGATAAGGCTATAGTCCATATTTTGGTTAACCCATTCTTTATTGATGAATTATCTAATTACTTCCACGTTTTGGCAATTGCTAGCCTAGCTGCGCACATCTTAAAGATATGAAGTCTTTGTCTCCTAACCAATGCCCATAGTTTTAATCCGGCAAAGTATATAACTTGTAACTCTGCAAATCCTCTTCGAAATCAGAGTTAATTTTTCAGACTATAACTCCCATCACTCCCCAATCAGCTTGTCCAGAATCTTTCTCAGATCCTTGTCTCGGGGAATCTCTCTTCATTTCAATTCCACTCAATTTCTCACCCTGCCAAGCTGTTATATGCACTGCAGCTTATCTCCATATCCTGTTGCATTTTTCATCCAAAGGAAAAAAATATTCATTTACATCTACCTTATTTACATATGCCTCCTGAGATATTATTGTTGCTATGCAATTTTGCCTAATGCATACATTTTTGCTCTCAGAGTTTCCCCCAACAGAAAGCATTTCTCTGTTAATTCCAATAATGTGAACCATTTTCTATAGGGCAAAGACCTGTCTTTTTCGTAACGAAGAATTATGTAGCGTGCCTGGAATGTTGATTGCTTTCTATAAATGAATAGAATGTCTACACTTCGTAAAATTTCTTGAGCATCTCTTTTTGGCGAATCCTACGAGGGTTGAATGAAAAGTAATGCCTCAACCTTCGTAACTCCTCAACAGATGGCAGGACTGGTATGCGGCAGGTACTGGCTTATTCAGTAGATTCTCCTCTACAGTTCCATTTTGGTGGGAAGCCTTAGCATTGAATGATTGTGTTGTTAAAGTGTGAAGTATGGAACCCTGAGCAGACGGTCAGCCAATGCGACTTAAGCAACGTGCAGTTATTGAATTCTTGGCAGCAAAAGGTGTCACCCCAAAGGAGAATGCAACCTGTTTATGGTGATTGTGTTGTTGTGAGTACTGTGCGTCATTGGGCAAGTAAGTTTAAAGATGTTGAGGTGGGAATATCTGACTTGTGTGACAAAGAGTTGGACGTCCTATGACAGCAATCACTGAGTTTCACAAGCAAAAGGTTGACAGATTGATTCGTATCGCTCAGGTATATGGGTATTTATTTTCCTTTCTCCTGGATGGACTCAGAACGTGACTTTCCCTTACTCCTCCTTATAAGTTACACTGTCCTATCTCCCAGTGTTTTTAATTTTTTTATAATTTTATAAAAAATTATAAAAACAAGCCCTATGAGGACAAGCCCTATGAGGAGCGGCTTAAGGAGCTGGGCATGTTTAGCCTGAAAAAGAGAAGGCTGAGAGGAGATATGATAGCCATGTATAAATATGTGAGAGGAAGTCACAGGGAGGAAGGGGCAAGCTTGTTTTCTGCTTCCTTGGAGACTAGGACGCAATGGAACAATGGCTTCAAACTACAAGAAAGGAAATTCCATTTGAACATTAGGAAGAACTTCCTGACTGTGAGAGCCATTCAGCAGTGGAACTCTCTGCCCCGGAGCGTGGTGGAGGCTCCTTCTTTGGAAGCTTTTAAACAGAGGTTGGATGGCCATCTGTCAGGGGTGATTTGAATGCAATATTCCTGCTTCTTGGCAGGGGGTTGGACTGGATGGCCCATGAGGTCTCTTCCAACTCTTTGATTCTATGATTCTATGATTGACAAAGTGGGTGCTTGCCTAATCTTCCCGGGTAGCAAGTTACAGAGCTGGGGGGCCACCACCAAGAAGGTCCTCTCCCTCGTCCCCACAAGTCGCACTTGTGATGAGGGTGAGAGTGAGAGGAGGGCCTCCCCAGAAGATCAAAGAGATTGTGCAGGTTCGTAGAAGGAATTGCAATCATGAAGGTAGGCAGGTCTCAAACCATTCAGGATTTTGTAGGTGATAATCTGCACCTTGAATTGGGACCAGAAAATGATGTTTGTCTTCAGGTAACAAACCATTGTGTTTGACTTGAAAGAGCATTGTCTTTGACTAATGTAAATAGAGATCATTTCCTTTAGCGTTAATCCGGTTTCTGACTGTGCTGGTACGGCCATACCAGGAGCTCCAAATTTATTTGTTTTGTATTAATTCTGCAGATAGGTGGCTTCCTTTGGTTGCAGTCATAGGGCAAGTCACCTGTCCATCATCGTTAAGTTTTGGTTCCGCCCCTTTCTCAGGGCAATTGGGAAGGGAAGGGAGCCATTTTTTAGTTAGTCTCAGCAAGGAAAGCTAATGTACAGGATGTGTGCAAGCTTCCCCTGTACAGAAGCTTCAACCTTTAAGACTTTCCGGGGGGAAACAGTCTTAAGAGCATCAAGACTTTCCAGGGGAAAACAGTCTTAAGAGCATCAAAAGATCTCCAAAGATTTCCAGGGAAACATCCCCAAAGCTTTGAGGAATGTCGGAGGGTGAACAGTTTGGAAGACCAAAGAACTCCAGCTGGAGAGTCTACTGGCCTTGCTGGTAGGTCCACTCGGTGATCGAGACGCAGTTCGACCCGGTAACGGAGCCCACATCAGTAAGGATTAGATTACAGTCAGCCTGGGAGAAGTTAAAAGGGGATTTTCCTTTAAAATAAAGAATCAGTTATTGAAGACAATTGCCTGTCCTTCGTGGGCAAGATTAGGAAGCCACCAGTTGCATAAAGGCCTGGAATCATTTGTTTAACTTTACTGAAGACAAGAGAAGATTCTGTTTGATTGTTCATTAATAAAGGACTTTGTTATACTTCACAAGCCATCTAAAGATCATTTGTGGTGGAAAATCTCTGAGAACTTCTCTTCGGGGGGCCCTGGCTTCCCGCTGGGCTCAAGTCACACATCCTATTTAAAGACAATTATTTACAGGCCCAGTGCATGACAGAACACTGACAGATTTATCTTATCACAGTCACAGTTGTTATTATAGTTTACTATGGCAGGTCAACTATTTCAGATCTCATTAGCAGCTTTTAATTACAGTCCAACAAGCAGGTAGTTAGTCACTTAGAATGGTGTCTTCAGCCCAAATTATTAGCTCTCATTCATTCATCTTTCATTCAATTCCATTCATATCAAATCCACATTTATCAAATCTGCACATCATATTTCTTGTGACACGTGGCAGGACAAGATGGACTAGATGGCCCTTGGGATCCTTTCTGCCTTGGAGAGTTTCTGATCCTGCATTTGACCTGATGATTCTTCTCCTTCCTTTCTTCCTTGTTTGGCTCTTTCTCCAGGTGCCCCAAGATGACTGGGGAGGGTACCCAGCTTCTGGGAAAGATGGGGAAATCCCATGCCGGCGGATGCGGAGCGGCAGCTACATCAAGGCCATGGGGGATGATGACAGCGGGGATTCCGATGCCAGCACCAAGGTGTCTTCTAAGGGGGTGACCCGGCGCGATGGGTACCGCCGCTCCTCCAGTGTCGATCAGGCCAGAACCAAGTAAGAAAAACCATAACAGACACCATGTTTTCCCCCATATCATAGAAAAACTCCCAGAGCACATGACAAAAATAACAGACTTTGACAACTGTAGATTCTGTGTAATTCCAACCCCCAGAATCCCCCCAGGCAGCTCAACCATAAGCTCATGGGTCACAAGATTGAAACTGAGAAGTTCTGTGTAACTACAAGATCCTAAATCTCCTAGCCAGTTCAACCCTAAGTCCATGCATCATAATTTAGGACAGCCTTTGAAAGGGGGAATGATTCTGTGTAACGACCAAACCCCAAATCCCCCAACTCAACCATGCATCACAAGAGAGGGCAGGATTTGAAACTGGGAGGTTCTGTAACACTATAAAACCTCAAATCCCCAGCCAACATGACCATAAACCCATGAGCCACAAGAAGGGACAGGATTGAGGGAGCAAGCTTATTTTCCGCTTCCCTGGAGACTAGAACACGAAACAATGGCTTCAAACTACAAGAAAGGAGATTCCACCTGAACATGAGGAAGAACCTCCTGACTGTGAGAGCCGTTCAGCAGTGGAACTCTCTGCCCCGGAGTGTGGTGGAGGCTCCTTCTTTGGAAACTTTTAAACAGAGACTGGATGGCCATCTGTCAAGGGTGATTTGAATGCAATATTCCTGCCTCTTGGCAGGGGGTTGGACTGGATGGCCCATGAGGTCTCTTCCATCTCTATGATTCTATGATTTGACGCTGGGCGGTGCTGTATAACTACAAAAGCCAGAATCCCCCAGCCAGCTCAACCATAAGTCAGTGGGTTGTAAAAAGGGACATAATTTGAAACTGGGGGAATCTAGAAAACTAGATCCAGGTTATCTGCTTTGAACTGGATTATATGAGTCTGCACTGCCAGATAACCTGGGATAAACAGAAAACCTGGGATCAGACCTTGGGATATAGGGCCTGCCTGGAAGGGCCCCTAGACCCTTCGACACTGTCCTTATAGTGTCCTCAAGCCAGCATAGCCTGCAGGATTCTGGGGACTGCAGTTCCCTAAATTACTTCCTAGACCCATGATGGCGTACCTATGACACACATGTCAGCACTGACATGCGTAGACATTTTCGATGACATGGGGCCACGTATAGAGACGTATGGGGCCGCATGCCGAGAAGGAAGTTTCATCCTCGGCTCCTGCACGGCCAGGTGCAGTAGCCAAGTATGAAACAGTTGCTGTAGTGTAGTGCAGACACTGTGCCAGAGGTTTGTAAGTCAAAACAACAGAACTCCGGCACAGAGCATCTAGTTCTGGGACTTCCAGTTAGGCTGTTAGGGGATCTTTGACCTCACTTCCAGCCAGCGGAGCAAGGAGCAGCGGACTGCTTCTGGGGACGCATCTCTGGGGGTTCTGTGATGGCCATTACCAGCAACCACATAACCATAGCAACCATCATCTACCATTCTGGGGTGTTGTGGATTTCTAATTGACCAGCATTACTGAGTTAAATGAGGGCGAGGCTGGAAGAGGCGAGGGCCTGTGCCATGGGTGCCGTTTCCTGCCATTAGAAATAGCGGCAGTCATCTTAATTCACAGAACGAATGCCATCTTGCATAGTGCAGTCTCATTTTCACCACGATTACTGTTGTGCATCCTTATTAACCCCTATTTCTTCCTATTAACCATCTAGGACGTTAAGATTGTTCTATCAATGGGTTTGTGGACTGAGTATTGTCCTTCTGTTATGATAATTTGGTTATAATTAATTGCTATCGTTTTAACTCTGTATGTATTTATGGTTTTATACTGTGTTATTGATTTGTGGCATCAAATTGCTGCCTTTGTTAGTCGCTCTGAGTCGTCGTCGTCGTCGTGTCCCCCCCCCCCCCCCCGGAGTGGTTGAGAAGGGCGGGGTAAAAATGCTGCAAATAAATAAATTATTATTATCATTATTATTATTATTATTATTATTAACTTTATTTATACCCCGCTAACATCTCCCGAAGGACTCGGTGTGGCTTACAAAAGGCCAAGGCCCTCAATAAAACAACAGCATAACAAACACAACAATAAAACTCATAAAGCAAAACAATAAACATAAAGCAATAACAGTAAACATTAAAACAATAACACCATGACGTATTTAAAGTTAAAGGCCGGGCCAAATGTAATGAATAAAATTTAAAAAATGCTTTATATGACAGGTGGAATGTATAGGTTTTTAGAGGTAGGTGCGGTATGCAGACAATCTTAAATCTCTAATAAAGTGCATTTGGGACATGATGCTAGGAGTTTCCTATTCTGGAAAGGCACACTGGAACAGCCACATCTTCAAGCTCTTCCTAAAGACTGCCAACGTTGGGGCTTGTCTGATGTCCTTGGGGAGAGAGTTCCAGAGTCGGAGGGCCACCACGGAGAAGGCCCTGTCCCTTATACCCCACCACCATCTCCCCAAAGGGGACTCAGGGCGGCTAACATGAGGCCAAGCCTTGGGGAGAGAGTTCCAGAGTAAATAAAATAAGATGACCTGGGGAGGCCCTACTCTCGATCCCGCCTGCATCACAAATACGGTTGGCGGGGACGAGAGACAGGGCCTTCTCAGTGGTGGCCCCTCGGCTATGGAACACCCTTCCTTGGGATATTAGATGGGTCCCCTCCCTTTTAACATTCCCGAAAAAAGTCAAGACTTGGCTGTTTGAGCAAGTGTTTAAAAAGGCAGTGTAACAGACATAGGAATACGGAATGACTGGATGATGAGATTGGACAAGGTTTTAACTAGGAGACGCAAATGATTAACGTCTTATTGATTTTGTTATGGTTTTATATTATGTGTTAATGTTTTTAAATGTTTAAAATGTTTTTATGGTGTTGTTGGGCATTGAATTGTTGCCTCTGTAAATCGCCTTGAGTTTCCTATGGGCTGAGAAGGGCAGTATTATTTATTATTTATTTATTATTATTTATTTACAGCATTTATATTCCGCCCTTCTCACCCCGCAAGGGACTCAGGGCGGATTACAATGTACACATATATGGCAAACATTCAATACCAATTTTTGACATACAAACATATACAGACATACACAGAGGCTATTTAACTTTTTCTGGCCGCCAGGGGAGCTATCGCTTTCATCGTCCATCTGCGACACTGATGAAGTACTTCCGCATTCCCCGCATGCTTTTTTGCTGGAGTGCTTTGCTGGAGTCTTTTTTGAAAGGTTTTGAAATTATCGGGAGGTTTTGAAATGCTGGAGTCTTTTTTATGGCCTCATAAATTAGTTAATTTAGCCTCCCCACACTTTAGGTGGTACCTAATTTTCCTACTTGACAGATGCAACTGTCTTTCGGGTTGCAAAGGTCAACAACAGGCTACACAATTCGTTGGAAACCCACTCCAATCTGGGCTGGCTTCGAACTCATGACACATATAGTTCGCAGCTTGGGGGTCCTCTTGGACTCATCACTGAGTCTGGAATCCCAGGTTGCAGTGGTGTCCAGGGGAGCTTTTGCACAATTAAAACTTGTGCACCAGCTGCGCCCGTACCTTGGGAAGTCAGACTTGGCCACAGTGGTCCACGCTCTCGTTACATCTAGGATAGACTACTGCAACGCACTCTTTGTAAGGTTGCCTTTGAAGACTGCTCGGAAGCTTCAAATAGTCCAACGAGAGGCAGCCAGGTTAATAACTGGGGCGGCATACAGGGAGCATACAACTCCCATGTTATGCCAGCTCCACTGGCTGCCAGTTTGCTACCAGGCACAATTCAAAGTGCTGGCTTTGGCCTATAAAGCCCTAAATGGCCCTGGCCCAAATTACCTGTCCGAACGCATCTCTCCCTATGAACCATCACGGAGATTAAGATCCTCCAGGGAGGCCCTGCTTTCCATCCCACCATTGTCACAGGCACGATTGGTGGGGACGAGAGACAGGGCCTTCTCGGTGATTGCTCCCCGGCTATGGAACTCCCTTCCTGGTGAGATCAGGTCGGCCCCCTCCCTCCTGTCCTTTAGAAGGATGGTAAAAACTTGGCTGTGGGACCAAGCTTTCGGGACAGGGCAATAAAGCGGCAATAGGAAAGATGACCAGGCCAATTAGACTTGACGCGGGGGGGGGGGGGTGGGGGGGGGGGGGGGGGGTGGGGGGGGGGGGGGGGGGGGGGGGGGGGGGGGGGGGGGGGGGGGGGGGGGGGGGGGGGGGGGGGTGGGGTGGGGGGGGGTGGGGGGGGGGGGGGGGGGGGGGGGGGGGGGGGGGGGGGGGGGGGGGGGGTGGGTGGGGGGGGGGGGGGGGGGGGTGGGGGGGGGGGGGGGGGGGGGGGGGGGGGGGGGGGGGGGGGGGGGGGGGGGGGGGGGGGGGGGGGGGGGGGGGGGGGGGGGGGGGGGGGGGGGGGGTGGATGGATGGATGGATGGATGGATGGATGGATGGATGGATGGATGGGGGCAGCCCCACGTAGAGCGCATTACATTAGTCCAATCTAGAGGTGACCAAGGCATGGACCACCCCGGCCAGATCAGCCTTAGCAAGGTACGGTCACAGTTGGCGCACGAGTCTCAATTGTGCAAAAGCCCTCCCGGACACCGCCGATGCCTGAGCTCATAAATGGATAGCAAGACACTACGACACCCATATCCACGGGCAATCCTTCCCAGACTTCATGTGGGCATACAAAACAGCAGAAGGCTGATCTGGCCAGGGTGGTCCATGCCTTGGTCACCTCTAGATTGGATTACTGCAATGCGCTCTACGTAGGGCTGCCCTTGAAAACGGCTCGGAAATTCCAACTGGTCCAACGGGCAGCAGCCAGGATGCTAACCGGGGCTCATTACAGAGAGAGGTCAACCCTCCTGTTTAAGGAGCTCCACTGGCTGCCATTTATTTTCCGAGCTCAATTTAAGGTGCAGGTGCTCACCTACAAAGCCCTGAACGGTTTGGGACCACCCTACCTGCGTGACCACATCTCCGTCTACGAACCCACACGCTCACTTAGGTCATCTGGAGAGGCCCTGCTCGTGATCCCGCCCACGTCGCAAGCACG